GACACCATGATGTGGTATGTACCATACATGGCCAATTTTCCCTTTCAGCTGTTGATTAGGCACCTTTTCTGCGTACCCCCTTTTGAGAATGTCCTGCATGAATGCAGTGTATTCAGCAGCATAGTTAGAGTCCTTTATAAAGCGCTTTTTCAGACCTTGTAAGCGTTCTCTGGCTACTTCAATGTTGTTGGGCATCATCTTGTTTTCATTTTTGAACGGCAAAGGTAAGTAGTAATGTCCTTCTCTTAGAGTAACATTGTTTGATGCTATTGACATGAACTGTTTATCCTCCATAGACATCTCATTTTTCTCCTCATATCTATTTTCACAAAAATCCTGGTTATATTGCTTTATGAGGAGATCTTTCAAGTCCATCACAGAAATCCTGTTGCTTGTCACTGTGATTGGCCCAGAGTGTTCTGTCTGTTTTAGTGGTCCACTCACAACCAGCCCAGGAGTGTCTTAACTGCATATGGCCCATTGTTTTCACTGTTAACATGCCATGGCTCCAGTGCTTTGGGAATATCTGTCCCAATGAGAAGTTCAATATCAGCATCAATCTCATCAAGTTGTACACGATCAAGGTGTGGCCAACTTTTCAGATCTTCTTTGGTGATGATATTGTCTTTTGAGACTGGTGTTTTGTTTTGAGTGCACACTTTTGGCAGTTTAATATACGTGTTCCCTTTCAAGTGTCCAATCTCCAGTCCAGTCACTTCATATGTCCGTGTAGGATTTTGCTGTCCCATCGTCTGCAGCAGTATTGTTGTTCTGCGTCCTTTAGCCTGCAGTCGATTCATGAGCTGATTAGTACAAAAGGTTGCTGTGCTGCCTGGGTCGAGAAAAGCATAAGTCAGAATGTATTTATTATTTTGTGTAAGCTTAACTTTAACAGGAACAATAGCAAGTGCACAGTCTTTACCGGCCCCAGTTGCATCTCCAGCTGATATAATAGTGTTGCTTATTGACGTTTCTGGTGGGCTTTTTGCACAGTTCTCTTGATTCTGCATGTTCCCACATTTATGTGAAGTACAGTTGGGTGTCGTTTCTGACAAATGTTACATGTTGATCTTTTTTTACAGTTTTTGCTTACATGTCCTTTGATTAAACATCCAAAACAGTAACCATTCGATTTCAAAAACTTCAACTCTTTTGTCATGTTCTTGAGCTTTTAACAGAGAGCATTCATTCAGTACATGTTTTCCACTACAAAACCCACATAAGACGCTGACACATGGGGTTAAAGTTGACTGTTTACTGATACTGATGTTTTTATTTACAGGTTTCACTGTTTGTGTCTCAGTTCAGCGTTTACAGCCACAGAAGTAGCAAAACTACTGTTTTTGCCCTTTATTTGCTTCACTGTAGTTAGTCTGTTTTTTGGGACCATTGCTCTCGTCACAGTTGCTGTAGGCTCATGGAGATCTCCACATAGCGGATCCAACAGTATTTTTGCTTGTTTTTCCACAAATTCCACTAAATGTTGAAATCTTACTGTAGGAGCCTAAACCCAGTTTGGAGTATTTTCATTATTGAGATAATTATGCTTATTTTGTTTGATTAATGTTTACTTTAAATGCATGATTTTTGGTATTTTGGTGGTTCTTTATGGTTAACTTGATTATTTGTTGATTATTTGTTACAAAGTAATTTGATCTATTTTATTTTTTCTTTAATTAATTATTGCTAATGTTAATCATAAGTTTACTTAAGTAATGTTTAATTTTTGTATTATTTTGTGGTCTACGGCTCCTTATTTAAGATGTGGGCAGGTGCACCGGGAGAGGGTGGAGTGGAGCCAAACAGTTTTTTGACCTCCTGTCACCTACACGTTAAAGTTCCTCTTTTTTGTTTGTATCTGTATGTCCTATAATGTGAATCAGCAGTAAAGAGTTTTTAAATTGCACTTGGATCGCTGTTCGTGGATTCTTTCATTTTTGATGCATTTTAAAAAGGTGGAACAAGGTGTGCAAAGCGTCAACTATGGCTTACAAATGTTTGGACCTTACACTTACTCTTGTTTTTGATTTTTGTTGTGTTTCATAGGCTGTTGAGCGCCACTTTTCACGAAGCTTGTATGGCAGTTTGGAAGCAATCAGTCTCAAATTGGATGAGTTGTCCAGCTCATCCATGTACTGTAGGTCCTGCATAACATTACAGCATCCTCTTAAATACATTGCATAGGTATGTAATGCATTCCCATCCTCAGCTCTAATTGCAGTCCAGTTCAATGCCTTCTCCAAATAAGCTCCTGAAATCTTAATCTCATTACCAAAATGTTCTTTTAGGAGACGTTTTGCCTCAGCATAGCCTCTATTCACATCCATATGCAAACAGCTGCGGACAAGATCTCTCTGGAGACCTGTGGTAAACTGCTCCAAATAGTAAAGTCTGTCTTGATTATCCACAGTTTTGTCCTCAATCAAATGTTCAAATGCATGAATGAATGACAAGTATGTGAGAGGATTACCATCAAATGTTGCTATTTCTCTGGGTGGTAACAATGACAGCTTTTGTTGTGAAATAATAAGATGAGCAATGTCACTTTGTCTTTGAATCAGCTCATTTGTATTATCACATTTGGAGTGACTCTTTGATACATTAATACTTTTGTTTTTGTCATCAACATTGTCTTGACTCTCACTTGTGTCTAACTCAAATACACTTTGTTCATGGGGTTCATTTAATGTTGCAACATTTTTATCAGTGTCAATATTTGTCAATACAGCTTTTTGCAGTGGGGTTTTTGGTGTAGCTCCCAGTTGTAAAAAGTGATCCATTTTTGTGCTTTCACTGATTGTACTTATTTCCATAACATCCTTTTGCTCATGTTGCTGCTTTTCATAATATTCATTTCATTGAATCTCCTTGTTCTCTGTGGTGGGGTTCTTCAAAAAAACTCAGGCTTAGGCAGGAAATGCTTTTCGGTGATTTATTGTGCTCTCCAAAGTGCAAAAGGTGCCAAACGTGAGAGTGGAAAATGTTTACAGTGGTGGTGTGAAAAAACAAAAATGACAAAAGTTTTTGGTGGACTTCCCCTTTAAGTCCGGCAAAGTTTCTCTCTCTCTCACTCTCTCGGTTCCTCTGGCTCACTCCACACAAGTTACCTCCACTGCAACCTGGTCGCAACTGCTCACAGAGCTGGAGAGCGCACCTTTATATTCCCGGTTTGCCCCTCCCACATTACATAATTCCCCCAATAATCATGATTTCGCCGTTTCTACAATCAAACGGCCTATGTTTTATAGCACGATGGTTTATATACCCGTAATAGCTTGCGCCCAGAATGAACAGGTCTTTAAATACAACGTCTGAGAGACAGACAATACATTTAATTGCCCATGCAAATTAGTTGTTGCCCCACCTGATTCCCGGAACCCACGCAACGACCGGATTTAAACTCCCAGCGCGGATGTGTCCGGGTTTGCCAGTACACACCACGGAAGGAGGGCGAAGGCGGCGGCGCGAGGGTAAGTGAATGTCTGGATTGGCGTGCTTTAGATGAATTGAATAAGCGCTTCCAAGTGGGCACCCTTAGTCGCGGAAAGACACGCAGGAGATGTTGGGAGAATTTTATTGTAAAACAGTGATTTTGGTAGGAACTGGTACGGCGAGCGGTGCGCAATAACTACGGAAACGGGCACGCGCATCTTCACGTGCTCTCCCCCAGGACGGCGTTCTTAGGGACGAGCCTGCTCCGTCACATTCTCCATCATCATCAAACTCCTCCTGTAGAGCTTTTACTTTTGCATTTGAGGCAGCAATCTTAGCTGCCAGCTCTGCTTGTTCCAACTTTGTTTTGAGTTTTGCTTCCTCCAGTTGTAGGCTGTGTTTTACTTTGAGAGCTTCTGCTTCAGCCAACAAAGCTGCTTTTTCTGCTTTGGCCTTTCTCTTTTCAGAGTTGATAGAGGAAGTTTTTGATCTTGAGGAATATGTGGAGTGCTTGTGTGAAACATTTGAGATGCTGTCCATAGGTTCCACTTTTGTTGTGCAATTAATTGTCTTTTCCAGTTTGCAACATCTTTAATGAAATAGTCAAAATTGGTTGTTCTGGGTTCATATCAGTCATTATAGTCTTGTTCCCTTTCTTCCTCAGATAGGAACTGTTGCACAGATTCATGGGCTTTTTTGAACTCATCAACAGCAGTTTCAAACAATTCATAGATCCTTTCAAATTCATTTAAATCCACATCATCCACCATTAACAGTTTTATTTCATTTATTCTGCGCGTGCATACTCCCAGTCTGGCTTTCCTTGATGCCACGCAAGATTTGAATTGAGCCTCTGCGTTTTCTGCCCCGCCTTGAATCTGATTTTCCTCATCGCTCATTTTGGCTCATTGCTTTGAATCGCTCTTTGCATTGACACATTCTACGTTCACAGGGCGTCAGTAGTACGTTTTATTTGTTTAGAAAAGCGCTGCGTAAATCCGTCTTTAAACAACTTCGGATCTTCCATGCGGTGCAGCCGCTGGCCTGATAGCCGCTGAGCGTAGCGGCGCTTTCATTCATCAAATCGATCAGCTGATTTTACTCCTCACTGGCGCGTGCGTCAAGCCGCTTTCGCCCTTTGATGTCGCCGCGATCGCCAATCCACAAACAGCGATAACGATGAATTCTTCTTTTGAATCCTTGGAGTTTCAGGATTATTTTGTGACTTGTTGTGCCCTTTTGTTTGAGGAGGTTTGTAACTCACGTAAAAAAATAAGCACTCGCGGAGATCCAGATCCGTTTATCCATTTATTTTAAAGAACAAAAAATAATGATAATATTCTCCGTGGTTGACTTTCCTTTTGATATAATGTGTGTGTGTGGTCACAAAATAGTATCTTCTCCTCTCCAGTCTCCACGGGCACTGCCTTCCCCGCCCTGCTCCTACAGGTGGCAAGATATACCTGATTGCAGGAGAAGGGGAGGGGAGAGGAGATCAGGATGACCTATAAAAAAATTCTATAATAAAGAAAAATGTATCACATTTATAACTTCTTAAATAAATATAAACTGGCTCCAACAGCCAAGATAACAAGAAGGAGGAGAGACCTCTAAGAGCCAACAAATCAAGAAGGAAGAAAGACCTGTACAAGGTATGTTGTGTCTGTGCCTAAATTGTTTAAGTGATTTCAATGATTTCAGTGATTTTGATTTTGATGTTTTAATGTAATGCGTATTTATATATGTGTAGAATCAGAATGGCGACATTTACTCCAAGTAAACTACCACCTGCATGTGGCAAATTGTCACATGATGTGAGAAGGAAGTTGGTCCTGCTAAATGTAAGTTGTATTGGCTAAAATCCCTATTTTTTACCAAAGTTTGTGAGTTGTCTCAATTTAATTTCCCTTTTTCTGTTTTACAGTATCAAATGCACGATCCTGGTCTCACGGCCCTGGAGAAGTCAGAGCTGTTTCTTGATTACAGCTTTGAGTTTTTACAAAAGTATGAGAGTGTCATATGTCACACAAGATGTCAAGAGATTTTTAGAAAACAGCAGGATCTACAAAAACTTAAAGAAAAAAAATCAAGAAGTCCTGGAACTTCTTTTTGTAAGTGGTAATTAAGCCTTTCATTATTTTAATTGCAACTTTAAATAAGAACTGTTCTAAATCAAAAGCTCTGTCATTAGATGTAGAGGAAGAAAAAAAGACAAGACTGAACTTTCATTCTCCACGAATCCCCCCTCTGCAGCTGTTTTGAGACTGAAGGAGCCCCAAGAATCTGCTTGAAGAAGATGTGCCTGAAGAAGTTGTGCCTGATGAAGAATCTGTGCATGAACAAGTTGTGCTGAGCACCACTGAGCAGTGACCAGCCAAAGTTCAGAAAAGAAAGAATGCTGACTTACCCCTGAAAATACAATTTTATATGTAAATATGGAAAATATTTGTGGATTTACTTTTTAAACTATTTAAATGTTTATTGAATCATATTTGGATACACAAAGACTTAAAACCAAAACTGCACACATTTCATATATTTTATAGTGTATTATATCTGCTGAGATCACGCATTAGTGTTTCAAATTTCAGCACAATCGGACTAAGACTATGTGTGTAATCATTTTAAAAATATTTTTTAGGGCAGTCATTGCGCCCCTGCTGGCCAACTGTGAAAAATACCCCATATCCGTAATAAACTTTTTTGCTTGTAATCATGCATAGAATTTTATTTCCAAATTTGGTGCTAATCCGATAATGTTGATGTTTCATGTCTATGCTAGGGGGCGCTATAGAGTTCACTTTTCATATACTTTATATTGTATTATATTCAGGCCGTGATCATGACTTAGTGATTCAAATTTCAGCACGATCGGACAAAACCTGTTTCTGTAATAAATGTTTTACTATTTTTGAAGGGGAGTCTTTGCGCCCCTGCTGGCCAATGGTGGAAAATGCATCATGTCCATAATAAAACTTTTTTGCTTGTCATCATGCATAGAATTTAATCCCCGAATTTGGTACTAATCCGATAATGTTGACGTTTCACGTCTATGCTAGGGGGCGCTATAGAGTTCACTTTTATTAGATTTCATATTTCATTACCTTCAGGCCTGGATCACACAATTGTGATTTGAATTTGAGTTCTCTAGGACAATGCCTGTGGCCGTGACAGGTCACTGAAAAAACAGGAAATGAAGGCGTTTTTCGCCGGCGTGCTACGGGCGAACCGTAAGGAGTATCCCAAAAAAAGTTGACAACTTCTGTGAGTTCATGTCTGTAGATGTGACATGTCAAATCTGAGCTCATTTGGACCAAACCCCGGGGACTTGAATCTTTTTGTAGACATCCAAGTCAAAATGGCGGCGAATGTTTGATCCAATATGGCCAACTTCCTGTTCATCATAGGGTCATGCTCCAATTCATCCTTTGTCTTGTCTCATTGTTCCGAATTTCGTTTCCCTGTGACAAACTCTGCTTGTCCCCACTCCCATAGGGCTCCAATTCTAGGCGGCGCTGTTGAGTCGGGTCACTCGGGTCATTGTTGCGATGCCCATTTTATCGAATTTTTCGCCGAACCGATCGATCTGGACCCGGTTTGGGGACTTTTCATCCATGTTTAGGGGGTCAAAAATGCGATTCAATGTGGGGGAAAAGAAAAAAAAAAGAAAGAAACCGACGAAGAACAATACCCCTCGCCCCTAACTTTGTGAGGGCCAACTATCCTGTCTTATGTGTAAATTAGAATCATACGTGTGCTACTGGGAAATAAGTAAGTAACTTTTTATTTATATAGCGCTTTTTCACAGACATTTCTGTCCCCAAAGATGCTTTACAGAGCATTATTCAGCATTATTCATTCACTCTATACCCTGGTGGTGGTAAGCTACTGTTGTAGCCACAGCTGCCCTGGGGCACACTGACAGAAGCGCGGCTGCTATGCTAATCAGCGCCATCGGTCCCTCCGACCACCACCATCACTCACACACACACCACTTTCATACTAGGCAATGTGGGTGAAGTGTCTTGCCTAAGGACACAAAATGATTGAATTGATTGTATTTTAATTGACCTTGACTATCAGCTGTTCTTGGAGACCTGGAGCATGTTTTCTCGGTATTGGGTAAGTATTATACTCTTCTATTGTTTTTTTCTTCAGACTTAACAGTTCCACTATAGGTGTGGTCACTCAGGAAAGCTGCTGTGCAACATCCCACCCACCCTCCCTGGGAGTAGAGCCTTGTACATGTGATAACCACACAAAAACATGTAGCCCTCTACTGGTCGCGTCCCGAGGAAGTCGGGGACGTGCTGTAAGGTTAGTTAGCTGTAGCTTCTAGCACACTAGGTTAATCACTTTTTTACAGGATGTGCGCAGGCTGCTAGTTGGTCACAGATGTGGATTTTGGTGATAAGTGACTGTGGGTCTTCTCAAACTAGTTTTAATGTGTAAAGTTATGTTCCAACCACTAACAAGAATAAACACAGTGGTCTTTAGGAGCCTGCCTGTCATGGCTGGTGCCCCCCTCCCTCTTTTCCTCTCTTGTGTGTGTGTGTGTGGGCGGAGTCTCCTGGACCTCTAATTCTTCTCACCTGCGAGCAATCAAGAGCTGACGACTTGAAACCTGCGAGTCTCTGCCAGAATGTTTACAACCAACACACATGATCCCTGCTGTCTCCTGTCCTGCTCCTGCCCTGCTCCTGCTCACATTCTACCAATTGTAAAATAAATTCTCCTTTTTCATTTTTGTGAACCTGGTCTGCAGTCCATTTTTTGGGTCCCTCCATTGTTGCCCCTTAACAGTGTCCCGTTATCACAGGGCAGGCGGAAACATCTGATGCATTTTCAGTGGAGGAACTAGTAACACGTAGAATAGCTACACAAACTTGTAAATATTGCTAACTGAGAGAGTGTCTTTGCAAATGACAGTTTTAAAATATGGAGCCCTGGGATCGTGGTTCCCTCGCGGCCGCCTCTTGTGTCATTAGAGTGTGGAGAGCTTTATACACAGCGTGCTCTGTTGGCACGAGAGGAGGCCGTATACGCCTGACCTCCCTGCAGTGAGAGCGTGGTGGAGATGCCAGGTTAACGAGTGCATAAAAGTCCACATCTTTAAGTGCGCGCAGGAGGAGAAGCCACCTCGTTATAAGTGCTCTCTTTCTTGCTGCTCCCCCTTTTGCTCACACACATTTCTAGGTCCCTGTGTAAGCCGCTCTGTCCTCCATGATCAGGTAAAATCCCAATCCTTTAGGCCTTATTCATGAAAATATCCAAATTCCTAAATCATTGATCCTTTTAGTGCCGCTGTCTGACTACAAGCCCGGCTCTGCTTCATTCTAGAAACATGCTGAGCTTCACAGTGCATTCTCGTGTGCTCTAGTCTTTGGAGACAGGTAATGAATGTCTACTGCTCCTGTCAATTCACAAAAATGTCCAAATTGTCACATAGTCCAGTTTTTCATTGTTTTTCTACTTTATTTATTTATTTATTTGAGACTGGGACCGCGCACAATTTTTGCATTAACCTTAACAGGAGAGATGTATTGTACATCAGGTTGTAGCATCAGTGCTAATTTCCACCTGTAGTCCCTGGGCTTGGCCGTATCATTGGCCTTGAGCCAAGTGCGCATCACCGTGCGCCTCCATTTGCAGTAACAAGTAACGCCCCATAACCTCTTCATTCATAAAAGTTCCAAATTCTTACACATCTGTCCCTCGTAGCCACACTGCACTCGCAGTACCAGAACCTTTACGCACAGTGGTGCACCTTCAACAATCAGATAAGATCAACGCATTCTAAATATGATGTCAACTCCAAGCATGTGTTCTCTTACAATGAATCTGGTTGTATAGTTGACATTGGGCCAAGGATTGTGCAAGTCATTCTGCGCCCCTCATCCTAAACTCCAGAAAGTGAGCTGTGTAAAGCGGATTCCCAACAGTCAACCCTGGGATCGTGCTCTCACCTTATTCCACCAATGTTATGTGTTTCTTGGGCTTAGTTCCACTAGGCAATAGGATTTATAATAACTCCCCCATGTTTTATGTGTCATCAGCGGTCAGCAGTGGCACAGAGCACGTTGCCTCGTCTGTTTTTACTTGTACTGGCTTCGCCTCTGCTGTTGCTTTGCTTATACATTTTTTTTGCCCATTTTGTTTAGTTTTGCCTATAGTCTCGTGTCTGTCACCATTCTCCAGCACGGAGAACGGGCGACCAACTCTGTCGCAATGGGTTGTGCACTAGGAAATGTGGGTAACTGTTTTATAATGAACTGAATGACTGAGTGATTAGATCCAGGACTTTTAATGTTGTAGCTATCGTTTTTGAAATTAAAGATGTGTTTCCTTTGAAATTGTAAAATGAATACCCTGTAAATGATGGGACCTGGCTCTCTCGTTTGATATGCTTACCTTTGTGCCTTATACTTAGATTCTATTTCCCCAAACTAGATTTGAGGTGGTGTTGTTGCAACACAACTTCTGTTAATATTCCAAATTGTCAACCCCTCGACTGCTGTATATGTGATGTCCCCACACGTGCTGTGATCCTGTGATTCCCTTTTGGGAATGGTTAGGAAGGTGTTAGGTCTGAGTTGGAGAGCCGTAAGGAGTTCCACCTTAGAGAGTCCTTCTTGTACAATGTACAAGTGAGTCCACTTGTACATTGTGACAGCTGCGGATCCAAGTGAGTCCACTTGGATCTGCAGCTGTCACAATGTACGACAAAATAAGTCTGGGTCCACTGCATTTCTCATGGATCCACTCAGGACCCATTTTGGATCCCTTTCAGAACCGGGTTATCTGCCCCGGATCTGCTGCGGGTCTGTTTCTTATGTTGTTAGGAGCCTAAATATGCTTCAGATTTGATACTGATCCACTTCCTACTGACCTAAATCCACACCAGCAGCATTTGCATTGAAATTGTACATAAAACATCTTTTACAGCAAGAGTCACAACTACAATGTAGAGGCTTAAATTCAAAAACATGAACCTCAACAACTGAAAGTTGGATCAGTGATATCCTAACATTAAATGTCATT